TCGAACAGGCAGCTTTCAGACGCAGATTCAGCACTTTCTGACGTGCTCAGGACAACAGCCTGGGCTCTGAAGGCAGATCTGAGCTTGAATCCTGGCTGCACCCCTAGCTTTTGAACTTGAGCGAGTAGATCTGACCCCAGGGAGAGCATGCAAGCCAGCACCTGTCTCAAAGTGCTGCCAAGCCGAGGGCAGAGGAGTCCGCTGCTCTAGGAAGAGTCCCTCCAGGAGGCTGAGATGAAGACAGGACCCATCGCCTGTCCTCAGGCCACCACGTCACCCACTGTGCCGAGTTCTCAGGCAGCAGGGAGAGGCGGAAGCACTGTGTTCATTCTATAGCTTATGGGGGGTTTGATGTTAAATTTTTTAAATTTATTGAGGTAACATTGGTTAATACATCAAGTCCAGTTTTCTTCCATTACCACGTACTCGACCCATTTTACCCAACTGACACGCCCCTCACCCCCTTCCCCTCTGACCATCATCGTCTGTATGAGTTTTGTTCATTTGTTCATAATACTCCTGAGAGTATCATGCTAAGTGGAATAAGTCAGATGGAAAGGGACAAGAACTGTCATTGACTGCAGTTCTTTGTGCAAAATCGAGGGGCAGGGGGCCAGTGTGACGGGCCCAGACTCTTGCTGCCCTGCGGGAGTGCAGCAGCACAGGACACAGGCTCAGATCCAAGTCTCTGAAACCAGATTCCCTCACCTGGACCTTAGATCAGGTAATGCAGGTGTAGCCGCCTACGAAGTGATGGTTTAAATGAGCCAGTAGATAAACCTACTGGAGATAACCTTAAGTAGAAAATTTACGCACGAGGCTCCTCAGCTCACAGGGATCTGAAGTCTCAGCACTGGTTACAGGTGTTAAGATGGTCACCTGTTTGCAAAGCACAGCACCCCGCGGGACCCTGTTAAATACCACGTGTTTTCAATTGAGCAGCCCGAGGAACCCGGCAAGTACGCACTCAGGATTGGAGAGAATTCACTTGTTCTTGCCTTGGAAGAATTTTTACACCAGAGGTTAACACCTGTGTAGGTTTATGTGGGCAGGATTTTGCATTTCTTTGACTAAGGCATGGAGGACAAAAGCAGAAGGCGTGTACCCCAGTGACGGCCCAAGCCCCGCAGCAGTTCTGGCAGCGAAGCCCAAAGCCCCACCCCAGATCTCCAGGATCACCAAGTGGGTACCTTGTAGCTAAGGTCACCCCATGTGACTTCACCACCCCTCTCCACCGCCAGGTGGACTAAAGATGGGCCCTTGATCCAACCTGGGACAGGTTCTCTGAGAACTTGGAGGTGAGGGGCTGCTCATGGTGCAAACTGAAGGTGATGGCATAAGGCCGGCTTATGATAGAGATGGAGGTGGTCCTTGAGTGAGGGTTACCTGGGCTTGTTCACAAGCTACAGGGAAGCACCCAGGACAGAGACTAAGATTCCTAGAGGGGACACTTCCCCCACTGTACAGTCCCTTCTGGGACCTGGCCTAGTCCGACTGGGAGCTCCTGGAGACGCAGTGCCACCTTGCTCACTGTTCCTGGCACAGGGCCCTTTGCAGGGGCCACACACGCCTGAACAAGGAGACCCCTTTCCTCCGAGCCTGGACATGAGAGCTGCGAATAGGTTTGTGGGCCTTGAAGAGTTGAGAACTCCCAGCCAATCCCGTCTCTCCGCTCCTCCCTGAAGCTTAAGCAGGAGCCTCATGTATCCCAGATACCCCCGTTCAGAGAGGAGACAAGGGCCGAGGCTAAGCACGCTCAGGAGGAAGCGGATTCCCATAGAGCCACACGTCCCCAGTCCTCTTCACTACAAAGCACTGGGCAGAACTGACCTGATACCACTTCTCTCCAGTGATGGGAAATGGTGAGGCCTCGTACACAGACCGAAAGCCGATCTAAGCGTTTCATCCAAGTTACTCAAGTAGCAGCAACCAGTTTATCCTAAGTCAGCCTATGAGTTTTCCTCGAAGAGGATTTGTCTGAGCTACCCCAAGTAGTGTTTTTAAGAGATGCTACCTTATGCTTTAGATTTCAAAGCAAATTCACGTGATGCCTCCCTTGCTTATTGCCTCTCGGACGCAAATCAGCAGCTTCATGCAGCTCACTTGGGCCCTTCGTTAAGTGTTGGGAAAACACGTGGCCCCTGCTCCCACTATGCTTACCAAGGGGACGGGGAGGCAGGTCTGTTAATCCAGCAGGCACAGGGGTGACTAACAAGTACTACTTGAGTGAAAAGTTTGAGACTTCACTTGAAGGTACTGGCCTTAAACATTCAGTTGATTACAGAAACGAGGTGCTCCAAAGTTGCTGAGCTAGCGCAGTGACTCACTGGGGTACACGCCTTTCCAGAAGGCATACTGTTAGAAGTTGACAAGCGTGTGGGAGGAGAGCAGGAAAACCCAACGGAAAGTGCTAGAACCACAGATAGGCACAGCTGGCCCCACTCAGGCGTCACTGAGCCCTCACAGCTGAGACAGCCAAATGAAATAGCTCCACAGAAAGGAAGCACAGGAGAAACGCCCCCGCTGCCCCTCCCCCTTTAAACCCCCGCAGCTGCCTAAATCATGCTGTGTATAGACATACTTATGGTTTTAATGCACACAGCAACCCACCCACCCCCGACCCCAGGCTTAATCCCCCAAGACCAACATAACTTCAAGCTGAAAGCAAGCACAGACCAGAGCAACCTGCCAGGCGCTTGGGGACATTTCACCCGTTTGCTTTAGTCTCGTTTCGAGCAGCACGAAGTCCGACAAAGACTACGCACATGCATGAGTGTTACCAGCTTGCAAGTTTGAGGTTAGTGCCTTAGTTTTCCCTCCTTCACATACACGCTCTGCGGGTGAACTTGTCACACCTGCTCTTAGCCCGTGTCATTAAGGTCTGATAATCAAATCCTGGTTTCTCAGGAGTTTCACCATTTTGTGCAAATATAACATTTCTAGGGTCCTTCAGTTTACAAAGCAACCTTCACTTGCCAGTGCTTGAGAGTTAGCATTTGGGGTGTTGGGTTATCCATCTGAACGTCTACCACGTGCCAGGGATATACTAAGTCAGGAGAAGAAATTATCATAGCTGCAAAGCTGCAGTTTAAACAAGGTAGTCCGGATGGGTGACGGAAAGTTAACACTTCAACATTTAAGTACTTTTGACCAATTCCAGGTAGAAAAAGTCAGAGGTCCCGGGGCTGGGAGGTCAGCTTGCAGAATGGGAGGGTACACCCCAGGTCAGAGGAGTGTAGATGGAGTCTCAGGTGTCCCTAAGACCTACGACGCAGGGCCCAGGAGGCCATTTCAGGGACGTTAGCTTTTAGAAAGTTGGAGTTCCTAGCCGAGACATAGATTTGATTTTCAATCTAAAAAACTCAGGCTGCAATCTGATGAAGAGATAGAGGAGAGGAGGAGCACAAGTCCATAGGGCACTTGTGGTAACCCAGGTGAG